GGACAGCTGGGTGGTTAAGAACACATGTTGGTCTTGCAGAGGACCCAGCACTCACACAATGGATCAAGACCATCTGTAACTCCAGTTCCTGGGATCTTATGCACTGTTTTACCTCAATGGGCACCAGCACACATGTGGCACACATACATAAATGCAGGCAAAACACTCACACATAAAATGAATCAATAACTCTTTTTTTTATAAAAAAAAAAAAAATCTAAAAAAGGACTCTGGCCACTTCTCAATGTATCTAAGCTACTAGGCATATTGGCAGTACTTAGTGGAAACTTCTTGAACAAGTTAATCGATGATAATTAATTATAGACATTTCACGGGGTTCATGAACGACAGCAACAGACAGAGCTGAGGGACAGCTGGAATGTGGTGGAGACAAGTTACATGACTGTGGGAAGATTATGTTAGGGCAATGGGAGACACTGAGTTTGGAGAGGGTAAGCTGGTCTTGAGGTACAGAATTTGTGGCCAGACTGAAAGCACACTGGCAGGGGAGTAAGAAACAGGGCTCTAAGGGCCTGAAAGAAGGGCACCAGTGACAACAAGCAAATCTCAGAGAAGAGTCTTTGATTTCTTTTCTTTCTGTCTAGAGACAAGATGGAAAGCAACTTCTTTCTTCTTGAGGTTGGGAGGAGACAGGACAGAATCATAACAATGATAGTAACAATAACAAAAAGCAAAAGAATAAACACACCTGGTGTGGTGGTGGTGGTACATGCCAATTATCCCAGTACTTATGAAGTAGATGCAGGAGGATCAGGAGTTCAAGGTCATCTTCAGCCACACAGAGAGTTAAAGACTAGCCTGGGCTGTGTGAGACCTTGTCTCACAAAGGCAATAAAAATGTATTATAAAGCACACTTGGGCTACAGTGACGATTCACCAGGTAAAGGCACTTGCTGTCAAGCCTGATGATATGAGTTCTATTCCTGAGACCTACCTGATGGAAGAGAGAACCAACTCCCACAAGTTGTCCTTTGACCTTCACACATGTGCCATGGTACATGGGCTGGAGCGCGCACGCGCACACACACACACACACACACACACACATATTAATCAAAATATAATTGACTTTGCATCTTGAAACAGCCAATATTAGAACAGTCATGAAGTAGAAACTATTAGACACTGATTTATTAGTAGTTTACTTACCTATTACACTGTTACTACCCATTAAGCATGGCTTCACTTGCTACCTGAAACAGAAAGACCTGGAGAAATAGCTGAAACAATGGGTCATTGCCCTTAACCCAATGGCTGCCATTTTGTACAATCTTGTTTGCTTGGCTGCCCCACCTTGTGGTTTTAGAGTATAAAATGAAAATACACACTACACCAGGAATCAAAGATTTTCAGCATCTATCTCAGCTTAGGTCTGTCAATAACATCTTTTTCCTTTCACTCTCATTGGTGTCCGAGTGCTTCTTACAGAAATGTTGCCACAACAATTGGACCAAAACCTGTAAGCCACTCTGCTAAATGTCATATATCAGTTCTGACCCTCTAGAGCAGTGGATCTCAACCTTCCTAATTCTGTGACCTTTTAATATAGTTCTTCATATTATGGTGACCCAACCATAAAATTATTTCACTGCTACTTCATAACTGTAATTTTGCCACTGTTATGAATCACAATATTTGATATTTCCAATGGTCTTAGGTGACCCCTGTGAAAGGGCTATTCATCCCCCCAAAAGGAGTCATCCCACAGATTTGAGAACCACTGCTCTAGAGAAAGCACCCTGACTAATACAGAACAGAAACCACAAGGGGCAGTCACTGCATGGTCCCTGACTCAGGAGATGGAGTTTACACCACTGGGTGACCTTCAACACCTCAGGTTTCTCTTTGGGAAATACCTGCCTCAGTTAGGAAATGAAACAATCAAGTCAGGGTTAAATCTCCATGGTTCTTTCCAGCTCAGGAACTGAAATTCTAGAACCTGCTTGTCAGATGTGACAAATTATGATCTCTCTCTCTCCAATTACATATGTTCCAGAGCATAGTATTTTGGGTATAAATATGCCAGTGTTTGCTGTCTTGTATATGTGTGTATTCTAACTATAAGACTACAAATGTGTTTTGGTTTGTAGATAAACAAGGGATGCTTCACGGTTTCTTCAGACAGGACCAAATGGCTGTGGGATACAGTAAGCTCACTGACTCTAGGCATTCTGGGAAGACAAAGAACTCAAGAAATTTTAACCTGTAATCATTCATTGACAAGGTTTTGTTGTTTCTTTTCTTTTTCTTTTCCCCCTCCTCCTTCTCTTTTGGTTTTTTTGAGACAGGGTTTCTCTGTGTAGCTCTGGATGTTCTGGAACTCGCTCTGTCGACTAGGCTGACCTCAAAGATCTGCCTGTCTCTACCTCCTGAGTGGTGGTAGGATTAAAGGTACACATCACCATTCCTGGCTTCTAAAGAATAATCCCTATTATGTTTTGCAACCAAATCTAATTAAGTTTTGGAATTAACCCTGTCGGGTATCTCAGGTTTTTACAAAAGAAGAAAAGGAAATTTAGAGGCAAAGGGGCCTGTTCGCACAGTTTCTCAGAATCAGAGCCAGACAGAAATCTAGAATCTAACACCTGACATGCGCGGTTGTCCTATACAGTGATGGGTGTGGGAAGAGAGCCTGCTCATGAAAAACCATCAAAAGAGCTGGGGTTTCTAGAAAGCAGAGCTCAGAAGCCTCAGGCCCCAGCATGCATGCATGCCCTGCTCTGTCCCTGAGCTCTACACTGCCTGCTGCAGCATCTTCTCATTTGCAGCTGGGCTTCACAGGCATGAAAGGCTCCTTCCTGGGCCACAGACTGTGACGAATTCCAATGTCAGATGGCATGGATAAGAAGTAACCATTGGGAGCATCTGACAAGACAGGAAGGCTGCTTACTAACTCCTTCTCAGGGCTTGCCATCTCTAAGGGCAGAGGTCAAGTGCTTTCATTCAACCAGCCAGCACTCATGGATCACATCAGTATCCTGTAACTGTATTGAGAGCTGGAGCAATACTAAGACAAAGGAATAATGAGCTCAGGGCCATGTTACAGACTATCTGTCCTCTCTATTTCCTTCTATAAGTCTCTTTGCCTCTAGAACCATATGAGGGAAGATTCTGTCATCTTGTCCAGATTTTTTTTTGCTGGCCAAACTCCAGGCTTACATTCCACTGGGAGAGGGATCCTTTAGCTTTAGCTCATTCAATGAATCATTAACTCACTATGAGCCAGGCATAGCTGTAAGTCCTGGATATACAAACCAACAAAGTACCCGCCCTTGTGGGCATCGTCAACCGAGAAAGTCAGACAGTAAAGACATGAATATAAAACTAATGACAGAGGCAGGGACAGAGCCACACTGGCTTGGGATGCTCAGCTAGGGAAACCACTGTAGTTCACTCTAGTGTCTGCCGCTGGCCCTCCCCAGTGCAGCGCAGAAATGATCTTGTTTGTTCCACTGGGTGCTGTTGAAAATTGAGGTTAGAAAATCAAACACAGCACAAATCACCAATGTGGTCAGCTTCAGCCTTTCCTGTCTGGTTGGGTAACTTCAAAACTCATCTGACCCAATCCCAGGGGCTTGGTGAGTATATTTCTTATATATAGACTGTTTGCCAAGACGACTGGCATTTCAGGGGTGGAGTATTGACTTAGCACTTAAACCCTAGGAGAGAAAGTGAATTATTGTAGCAACAGCTGAAATAAAGAATAAAAGCTACAAAAGGAGTGATGTTCAGGTCTTATTGAAGTAAGAAAGCTCACTCAATTACATGTTCCAAAAGGCACTGAGAACTCTCCTCCACAAAGGAAGCCAACACCACAAATACCGCCTCCTGTGAGGGATGATCAGAAGTTCTGCCAGGTAGAGATAAGTGTCCCTTCCCATGTCTGCAGGTGGTGATGTAAAATGGTACCTTTGAAACTCCTCAGGTAAGAAAATTAACAATATGGACTAAGAGCTTCAAAAACAGTCAGTTTGGGGCCAGTAAGATAACACAGCGGGTAAAAACACTTGCTACAGCCAGGCAGTGGTGGCATGCTCGGGAGGCAGAGGCAGGCCAATCTCTAGGAGTTCAAGGCCAGCCTGGTCTACCTAGTGAGTTCCAAGTCTCAAACAAACAAACAAAAAAAGAAAAACCAAAACAAAACAAAAAATGATCCTGACCTGACCTGAGTTGATCCTGGAACCTACATAAAGCACCCACATACATGAAATAACTAAACCTTAAAAAAAAAAAAAAGCCAAGCACGGTCACCCGAGTTCAATCCCTGGGATCTACATAATGGAAGAAGGGAGCTGACTCACAAGCTGTTCTTTGATCTCATGGCAGGCACCCACAAAATGTGCATGTACACACACCACATAAATGTCTTATCTTTTTTCTTTCAGTTTGACTCAATTGCTCCATTTCTACTACTCTATCCTTAGACAAAAATCAGAAATCTAGAGCTGGGCAGTGGTGGCACATGCCTTTAATCCCAGCACTTGGGAGGCAGAGGCAGGCGGATCTCTGTGAATTCAAGGCCAGCCTGGTCTACAGAGAGAGAGAGAGTGCCAGGACAGGATCCAAAGCTACACAGAAACCCTGTCTCAAAAATAAAAATAAAAAGAAGAAGAAGAAAGAAAATCAGAAATCTGTTCAAGGGTGTCTATAAACATTTTCATGAAAAGGGTCAATCAAGTAACAAACAATTCAATATATAATCTAGATTATATAAGTAGATTCTGGTATCTCCTTATTATGGTAGTGAAGTAGCTTTTGGAAAGGTCCAAAGAGTCATTTTTAGGGGATGTGCCAACGAACTGTTACAGTCTAATGGAATAAGCGCCTTAACAAGGCCACTGAGGGGCGCAGGGCAGACTTTGCGGAACACTGACACTTGAGGTGAGTCTCAACGTTTGTAGAGAACTTTCTAGATGTAAGGGGAATAAAAAGGACCCAGTGAAGATTTAGGAAATCTGGACCGATAATCCCTGCCATACCTCTCATCCGCCAGATCACTAAGCCTGTACTTTTCCCATGAGTGAGTTGAAGAGCCATGACGGTGATGCGGGTGGTCATGGCCTCTCCCTGGAGAAGAGGGGTGATGTGGAAGGCTGTGCCTCTGCCCCAGAGGCTGGAAGTAACGCCCAGCCCTGGACCTGAGGGTCGGGCTTCTGGAGCGAAATAAGTCCCAGGCCCTATATGGGCTCTCCACCGGTCTTCCTGGCAGCGCCAAAAAACGTCTCGTGGCTCCTACAAACTACGTAAGCGCAGTTGGCCACAGACCCAGCAGCAATATGAAGCTTCGCACCCACCTGGAGGAAGAAAGCTTGTGTGAGGCCTACCTGGCTTAATAGGCCAGTTCTGAGGTAAAGGGCCAGGTAGAGAGTGACACAAGGCTAGGTTGTCCCAACACACCCGGAGCTCCTATATTGTTGCCCTGGGGCCCCCGGGCCTCCCAGGCCTCAGCCTCCCTCTCTTGAACCCTCTTCTGGACCCCTCAGAGTGTATCCTCTGCAGCATCTCCTGTAGGCTTCCCTCTGTCCAGGGAATCACCCTGCTCTCACGGCTGTGGGCTCTCTGATGGGTAGAGGTGAGTGAGATGGCTAGAGGCTGAGGAGAAAGCATCTTTGGCCTAGGCTCTGCTAGGAGTTCTCCCCCAGCTGTTGTAATTTTTCTTGATTTGTGATCCACCCCTATTTAATGGCTGGGTTACCCTGGTTTTTCAAACCCAGCCACCAGCTTGGGCAGGAGTAAGGCAGTTTACTTCGGGTTAAAGAGCCTTGGACAAAATCATTGTCTTCTCCTTGTTAGGCCTCTCTAGACTGTGATACGTGGAGGACACGGAGAAAGTAAGGGGAAGATGTATTGTGTTTCACATTTGCACCCTTGACTCAGATCACAGTAGCCATAGAGTACCGTCTTGTAATTTTTTGTTCTTTTGGCCCAGAGCATGCCTCATCCCGATGATGCATCCCGGAGACTATCAAAGACTGGAACAAGCCTCTACACAGTGCTAAAACTAAAGAAAGGGGCCCCACCTGAAGAGATCAAAAAAGCCTACAGGTTCAGACCCCTACCCTTTATTCAACCCTGGTGTTTCCCCCCAACCCCTTTACCACCAATGGACCCTCCTTCTTTAGTTCTGAGAAGCTTTAATTTGGGGTCAGAGAAGGCCACCCCTCGTCAGGGTTTGTACCATATCTCAAGTGCCCCTCGCATCTTCTAAAGACCTAACTCTGCCATTCATCCTAACCCTCCCACCTCAGTCACTTCTTGTGCCCTCCCCACTGTCCTTTGGGTATTGCCTGGATAGGAAACTGGCCTTGCAGTATCATCCAGACAAGAATCCAGGGGACACTCAAGCAGCAGAGATCTTCAAAGAGATCAACACAGCCCATGCTGTGCTCAGTGACCCTACAAAGAAGAGAATCTACGACGAGCATGGCTCATTAGGAATATACCTACTTGATCATTTTGGTGAAGATGGTGTCAAATACTATTTTATATCACACAGCTGTTGGTTCAAGGTACACCATTCTTCCTATTCCCTCAAAAGTAAGAAAGGAGTTGGGGGGTGTGAGGCTGGAGAGATGGCTCACAGTTTGGAGCATTTTATGACCTTTTAGAGGACCTGGGTCTGATTCCTAGCACTCATGTGGTAGCTCACCACATTCTATAACTCCCACCCCAGGGGATCCAGAGCCATCATCTGGCTTCTGTGGGAACCACACATGCATATGGTACACAGACATACATGAAAGCAGAACACCCACACATAAAATAAGATAAAGCCAGCCTCTGAGCCCAGGCCTTGGGAGGCACTGGGTAGCCTGGGCTACACAGTACGATCCTGTCTGTGTCAATAGAGTAAGGAAGGAAGGGCTGCCTTCCTCTCAAAGCAAACTCCTCTGGTCTTACTTCTTACTTTCTGTGTGTAAGGATGGAGGGCTGGGGGGACCTGCATAGAACTACAAAGGGAACAGGGGACCATGGCCTCTCTCCTATTTTGTAGACACTCGTCATCCTTTGCTGCCTTTTAACTTGTTGCTGCTGCTGCTGCTGCTGCTGTTTTTGCTGTGGAAATCTTAGTCCACCACCTGAGGAAGTTAACATCAAACAACAACAGAAGCAGCAAAAGAATGTCCATTGTCAGCCTACCAGGATAGGTGGGGAGCAGGGCCAGAGGTTGGGGTAAGGTATAGCAGAGCGAGGCAGACAGTTAACCCTGAAATGTGAATGTTTCAAGTCTTGCATTGGGGTGAAGAGAGACTGAGAAGGTGACTGAGAGTTTCAGTGTAGTGTGGGCCTTTCCTATCGAGGAACTGGGGGAAATACACCTTGAAAAGGAAATAGTTGAAGACAAGTTCACAGATGAGATTTATTGTGAATAGAAGGATGATCTGGGGTTAGAGCACTTGCCTAACACATGGAAGGCCCTGGATTCCAGCCCCAGCCTTAGGTGGGGGGAGTAAATTGTGTGAGATTGTTCCCACCCCAGATAGTTTAAAGTTTAAAGTGGTATGTTGATGGAAATTCACACATGCCACCTGGTGATGCCAACAGGTAACTTCAAGGTAAGGGCTTTCTCATCTATACACTATAGATATGTAAGCATGTTATAATTCTACCCCAGGAACACAACAAAAAAATGAAATAGAAGATGAAGACAGTGATGATTACTAAGCAAATGTGAAGAAAAGTGAGGTATGTACATGGAGAAGCAGCAATGGTTACAGGGTAACCAGTGAGATGGCTAAGCTGGTCAAGATGTTGCCACCAAGCCTGACTACCTGAGTTTGACCTCCAGGACCCAATGGTGGAGGGAAAGAATGTTCTTCTTCAGACTGTCCTCTGATCTCTGCACACATGCCATGTTGTGAGAGCCTACACTCATACACACCCATGTGCATGTGTGATTATATATATTATATATACAACACACATATACATGTGTTATATATACATATATATATTTTAAGTACATATAGTTCTTCAGTTGGGTCATTATTGCAAAGTCTTTTTATAGCATCAACCACAGCTACCTACATTCTTACATAGAGACAGTGTGTTTTCAATTGTTGGTGGTTATTCCTAATAAGGTTCCAACTGCAACTGTTTCCACCATTAGGTGCTGGCCCAGTGAGAGTTCCCTGTCATCCAGCCCTCTGGACACATTGAAGAAAGAAGTAACCCTGTCCTGACATTGACTCCTGTTCTTAAAAACCAATCCCTCCTGCTACAGAAGCCCTGACGACATCCATCCTAGAAAGGGCCACATCCTGCCATCGATGTTGATATGCCACTGAACCTGTCCACATAGAGCCTTGCTCTGATCTTTTTAGCTCTAGCTCCCTTCCCAGCTTTATCCACACAAGGTCTCAGGCCATGGTGGCAGGTGTTTCCTGAGAACCCTTTTCCAGTGCATGCCTGGGCACTTGCCAATGTCAGGTAGGTCCCCTTGAGCACTTGCTGATTAACTTCACCAAGACCCTGATCACCAAGCAAGGCGGCTCCTGTCCCAAAAGCTGGTGGACCAGTTAATCTTCCTTTGTTGGAACTTTGTGTACCAAGAACTTCTAGCGCTAGCCTCATTTCTTAGCAATACACCTTTAGGAGGCTGGTACCCTCACCATTGGCATTGACACCCAATTCATAAGACAGCAAAGGAAATGTTTGTGGTTTCCCCCTTGGACTTCAGCTCCATTCCTATACCCAATACCAGCTGTGGTCCCATGGACTGGCTGCAACCCATGCCTTAGTGCCTGCTACCTCCATCCTTCACAACACCTCATGCAGGCTCATCTCCCTTATATCATTTTTTAACACAAGGGCATGGAATATGATGGGGACTAACTGTACTTACAGATTCACTTTAGCCTTTGTGTGTTGTTGGCTTGGCATCCTCTCTGTATCCTCTTCTAATTCATGTGGGGTCAGGGCCTATGAACCCTCAAACTTCTCTGCCCTCATTGGGAAAGGGGCTACAGAATGTCAATAATAATAAAAGCTTTGTCCAATTCCACAGGCCTGGGATGAGGCTGGCATGGTCCACAGAGTTGATCACTGTGGAGCTGGGTGTCAAAGATGCCCAATGGTGGTGACTGTCAGTGTCCTAAGACTGCTCTGCAGACTGGGTCGCTGGTGTTGCAAATAACTGCAGCATGTGGAATCTTTCCAGCCACATCTGTCCTCACAACATTTTTACTTCGCGCGCGCGCGCGCGCGTGTGTGTGTGTGTGTGTTTACACGCATGTGTCTGTGTAAATGGGTTTACACATGTATCTATGCACGTCTGTGGAGGCCAGAAGGGGGCGATGAGTCTCTTGGAGTTGGGGTGAAGGATGGTTGTATCAGGATCTAAACATCTCCAGTCCATGCCTGTCTCAGTTTCTAAGCACATTTGGCATCCTTGAACTGGCTTTACTAATGTGGTGAGCCAGGATCAAACACTCTTACGTCCTAATCATAAGGCAGGCCTGGGCCTGGCACAGCAGTCATCTCTTGCCTCTTCAACTGTTCTCCTAGGATGACATACTGGCTATTCAAGGGTGATGTAGTTCAGTCAGCACAGTGCTTCTCTAGCACACACGAGACCCTGAGTTGACCCCCAGAACCTTGTAAACTGGGAATGAGGGTGTTCTCCCCTAATCCCAGAACTTTGGATGTAGAAGCAAGAGGATCCGGTGTTCAAGGTCATCCTTGATGACAGTGAATTCAAGGCTAACCTAGTCAACATGAGAGCCTGTCTTTAATAAGAGAGAGGGAGGTGTGTGGCTAGATTGCTCAGTAAGTACAGGTATTAGTCACCAAGTCTGATGAGCTGAGTTTGATTTCTGTAACCCACACACTGAAGAAAAAGCTAACTCCTGTCAGTGACCTGTGACCTCCACTTGCTCCACGTCATTCCTACCCCTCCCTAAAGTAGATAAATGTAGTTTTTTTTTTTTTTTTTTTTTTTTTTTTTTTTTTTTTTAAGGCTGAGCAAGAACAAGTAGGGACCAGACCTACGGGACAAGAAGTTCTCTCTCTGGGGTCTGGTGTTCAGCTTCTGGACCCTGAGTCTTCAGGAGGAGGGCCAGAGTCACTGCTACATCACAGAGGGAGAGGTGGTCTGTAGATCTGTGCAGACCACCCTTCCCACCCTGAGCCATGTGTCTCCCCACATGCGAGTTTCGCTGTTTAGAAGAAGGTCTCAAGCCAGAACATGGAGAGCAGAGGTGCAGGAGCCTTCCCAGTGACAAGTGAGCCCCACACCTCCGCTGACCCACCACCCACTGAAAGCAGGGACGCCCCTGCTGCTCTTCTTGCTCAAGAAAGCCACCAGCTGAGTGAGTCAGGGTCACTCAGTCCGGGACAGCTGCAGCTCGCCTTACATGAGCTAAATTGGGAACTGGAATGTCACACAAATGCCCCTTGTCTCCCTACCCCCACAGTAATATTAATCTCTCTAGGGAGCAAGGGACAAACAGTGCTGCCTGCAGAGTGAGCAAGAGGGTGGTTTGGGGGAGCAAGAGAATTCCTCAGGGGGAGCTAACGGACAAGTACGTGGAGAGGGCTCTGAGCAAGGAGTATAGACAGAAGGGTCTGGAAATAGCCAGGGTGAGAGAAGCTGTTAGAGGGACGGACAGGAAACATCACCCTTTCAAGAGGGAGCAAGACCAGGGATCCCAAGAATCCACAGACAGCCTAAAGTTTCGAGAAGGGTGCACAGGCAGCAAGAGAAGGCAGGGACAGGGAGGACCACAGCCAAGGCAGGCACCGGAGCGCTGAGGGATGAACTTCACCGTGGGTTTCAAGCCACCGCTAGGGGATGCACACAACATGGAGAACCTGGAGAAACAGCTCATCTGTCCCATCTGCCTGGAGATGTTCTCCAAGCCCGTGGTGATCCTGCCCTGCCAGCACAACCTGTGCCGCAAGTGTGCCAATGACGTCTTCCAGGTGGGTTCAGGGACAGCTGGGTCAGGTCAAGGAGGGGACAGGGTGGCAGATCCCACTGGTGGGGGGTGGTGAAACCGCCCCGACTGAGTGGCAGGAGAGTTGGGAGTTTTGGGATCCCAGAGTAAGCATGAGTCAGCAGGTGCCATGAAGCTGGCAGGAACAGCCTGTGTCCACAGCGGCTAGAAAGCAGGATCCAAGGGAGGCTGGTGGGAACTGGCAAGGAAGAGTGGTCTTGCCTGGGTTTTGTGGGGGCCTTACTAGATTTCATCTACTTTGAGGCTTTGTAGTTTTGTTTATTTATTTATTTTTACAAACTATAGAAGAGATCAATGAAATATTGAGGTACTAAAATATAATAGGGCCAGCAAGACAGTTAGTAGGTGAAGGCACTTGGTACCAAGCCTGACAACCTGAATTTGATCCCCAAAACAACATGGTGAAAGAAAGGACTCCTGAAAGTTGACCTTTGACCTCTACTTACATAAACACACGCTTTAAAATAATAACTGGGTATGGTAGTATACACTTGCAATTGCAGCACTTGGTAGGCTGGGGCAGGAGAATTGTTGAGACAGGGTTTCTCTGTGTAGCCCTGGCTGTTCTGGAGCTCACTATGTAGAGCAGGATGTCCTTGAACTCACAGAGATCCAGCCTGCCTTTGCACCTGAAGTGCTGAAATTAGAGAGACATCAACTATCATGATTTTTAGGCTAACCTGGTTTACATAATGAATTCTGGACCAAATTAGCTACATAACAAGACGCTGCCTCAAACAGAAAACAAGAGAAAAAAAACCCTAAAATTAAACGTTGATGATAAGCTATGAGAAAGCCTATGATGCCAGCAGAGCTGTGTGTATTTGAGATAGAGCTCCTCTCTCTATGAGGGAGCTGCTTAGACACAGTGGGCCAGGGAAGCAGGAGCTCTCCCCAGTTTCACACCTGACCTGGTGAAGAGGCTATGGACTGACTGATACTCAGGTGACTTATAGACAGATAGAGCGAAGGCAGAAGCAGAATTGTACTTCCCAGAAATATCTATATCTGTGGCCATGAGGCCGGGCATAGCTAAGTTAAGTCACTGATATCATTCTGTCAACATTTTAAAAATAAAAACAAAAAAGCTGGGCATGGTGATGCATGGCTGCAACCCCAGCCCTTGGGAGGTAGCAGCCATATGAGTTTAAGGCTGGCTTTTACTAACAACTAAATAAGTGCACATATTATAATTCTTTATAAACTCATAGGCTTGCTTTACTCCATGTCATTCGTAGAAGTTTGAGTAGGCTATAGATGGGGTCAGAGGTCAGGGAGAGTCCAGGGACAGGACACACGTGTACAGACAGGAGACCTTACAGATGAAGTAAAAGCTGCAAGAGCTGCAAGTGTCATAGTGTACAAATCTGTGATAGGAGCATCAGGAATAAGATTCTAGCCAGAAACCAGCTGTGTGACACATGCCTGTGGTGGAAGGGCACGGGAGGACCAGCACAACTAGAGGTTGCCTGTCTGTGTAACCACAACTAGAGGTTGCCTGGTCTGTGTAACCACAACTACAGGCTAGCCTGGTCTGTGTAACCACCACAACTAGAGGCTAGCCTGGTCTGTGTAACCACCACAACTAGAGGCTAGCCTGGTCTATGGAACAAGTATACCAGTATATCCACTGGCTATATATAGCAAGACCCTGTCACAAAAAGAAAAAAAAAAAGTGCCTAGGGCTGGATAGATAGCTCAGTGGTTAAGAACACTTGCTGCTCTCCCAAACAACTCAGGTTCAGTTCCCGGCATCCACATGGTCGTTCACAACTGTCTGAAACTCTTATTCCAGCCACCAAATCATGACTTGGAGACTTAGTAATTATAAGTCCTCAGCCTTAATCCTTGTCCACTAGCTCTTTTAACTTAATTTTACTTGTTTCTCTTCATCCATGTTTTCCTCGGAGCTTTTGCCTTTCTTTTATGTACATTCTACTTTTCCTGCTTCTTCCATGTCTGTCTGTCTGGCCCTGAGCATCTCCCTCTTTTTCTCCCTCATTCTCACTTCTCATTTTCTCCTGAGCCTAGATTCCTCCTCCTACTTATTCTCTCTGCCTGCCAGCCCCATCTATCCATCTACTGCCTAGCTATTGGCTGTTCAGCTTTTTATTACTGATCGGGTAGGTGCCTTAGGCAGGCAAGGTGAAACAGAAACACATCTTTACATTTTAAACAAATGCAGCATAAACAAATGTAACTCGCCTTTACATAGTTAAAGTAATATTCCACAACATTTGGGATGGCATGTTTGAAGGCAATGAATGGGTTAAGTTAGGTCATCATAGCATGTCTATATGCCATGTCTGTCTTCTGCCCCTTTCACTGAGTATCCTTGCCTGCCATTATTTGCCTGTAGAGACTTGGATCTCCCTGTCTGGAGGCCTAGGCTGCATGTTGTCCTAACTCTGTCACAAACCAACAAATAAAGGCAAAATTTCTTGCTGGAAACAGCAGGGTTGTTATGAGTTTGGGGCTAGCCTGGGCTACATAGATAGTTATGTTTGAGTGGTTAGACTTTCCCACCATCTTGGTTTTTCCTTTGGTCTGAAAAACTGACACCTTTTAAGCTGAAATATCCCAAAATGACATCTTTCCCATATATTTATATGGAAACATCTACTGCTTTCTTCCGTGTGTGTGTGCATAGGTGCTTGCGTGTATGAGCCTTCTTCCCCCCTCCCTTAATGCCTCCCCACATGTGCCAAGGTGCAAGTGTGGAGTAGGTTTCCCCTTCCACTATGTGAACATCATGCTTGAAAGGAAACTTTATCCATTGAGCCATCCCTCTGGCCCTGAGGAATCCCACTATATATATAATATGTGTAGTCAAAGAAACATTTGGAAATGGAAGGAAAGTATTTGGTAAAAAGTAGCCAAGGGGCTAACTATGGTGGCATATGCCTTTAACCCCTGCCCTCAAAAGTCGGAGACAGGTGTGGATAGCTCCTGAGTTCAAGGCCAGCCTAGTTTATACAGTGAGCTCTGAGCCAGCTAAGACTGTATAGTGATACCCTGTCTAAAAAACAAGCAAACAAATAAACTCCAGAATGTTGATTTGTAAACGATAAGGAATCTAGCACAGAGACCAGAAACAGCCATCCAGAGAGGATATAAAGTGAGTTTGTGACCCTCCTTCAAGGCAGAATGCCAAAGCTCTAGAATCATATCTGGGCCCAGAGAGATCTAGGAAAGTTTTGGAACAAACCCTATGCAAAAGCAGACTTGGTGGCACACAACTGTTCTTGCAGCTCAGGAGGCTGAGGTGAGAGAGTCACTTAAACCTGTGAGTCTTAAGACAAACCTAGGCTACATACCAAGATCCTGTCTTCAACCAGAAAGTCAGAAGTTGGGAATGTTCTTAGTGCTTGCCTTGTGTGCACAGACCCCAGAGTTTAACCCCAGCACCAAGTAAATACAGGTGGCTCACGCCTGTACTCCCATACTTGGATGGAGGCATGGTGAGTTTGAAGCCAGCCTGAGCTACATGAGACCCTGTCTCAAAAGCAGACAAATGAGACCCAAGCCTTTGTAGATTATGTGAGAGGTAACGTGAGCCTCAGGGCTCTGAGACGGTTCTATAGGTCTGGTGCAGAGCGCCCAGCCCTCCTCAGGGAACAGAGTGGACAGTTCAGTCCTCCAGGCTTTATTTGGAAGGCCTGGGGGAGGCTAACCCAGTTACCCAGCTGCATCCATGTCTATACATCACAGCTCTGTCTGAAAGATGAGCATATTTCCTTTTTCACACATTGCCTCCACATTTTGACAACTCTAGGCATAATCAGATTGTCTGTTTTCTAAGTATGGCGACAGGAATAGGACTTTTAGTTCCTCCATCTTCAGATCACTAAGGAGGAAAAAACCCTTCAGAACATTGCCTAGAAAGTTAACAGTTATGAACATGACAACAGTATAGCAGTATAGCACATTTAAATTTTTATGTGTATTTTTTTTCAAACACCTTGGAAGAGTATAGCATGAAAAATGAATTTGCCACTAACTTCAAATCTTTAATTCCCTTTACCAAATACAAACAAACATTACCAGCTTCCCTGAGAATCTTTCTAGAAATTTCCATGCTTAGGCACATGTTACCAGTCACCTTTTTGTTGTGTGTGTTTGCTTTTTTGTTTTGGTTTTTTGAGACAGGTTTTTTCCTGTGTGGCCCTGGCTGTCCTGGAACTTCATCTGTAGACCAGGCTGGCCTTGAACCAGAAATCCATCTGCCCCTGCCTTCCCAGTGCTGGGATTAAAGGCATGCGCCACCACTACCCTGCATTACTGTTTTTGTTTGTTTTAATTTGTACCCTATCTACACATAGAAGACACAGTATGTGTTCTGTTTTATTATTGATGTTATTTTAGCTTTTACATGTATTATTTTGGGTAGGGCACATGTGTAGAAGTCAGAGGACAACTCTTTGCAATGTCAATTCTCTCCTTCTACCTTTACTTGGGTTCTGGGAATCAAACCAGAGCCTCTAGGGCTATGAGGCCCAGGCTGGCCTTGAATTCAAGATCCTCCTACCTCAGCCTCCAAAGGGCCTGACTACAGGTGTGAGTTGCCACACCCAGCTGTGCTTTCTGTTTCAGATAGCAGCACAGTGTCCATTGCTATGACCAGGCCACCGTCTGTTTAGTGCACCTGCTAAGATGTTTATCTGTATCCAGTGGTTGTTGTCCAGTGTTTGCTGGAGAAACTGTTTGTGGTGTTAGGCTGGAGATGTACTCAGCTGGTAAAGTGCTCACCTAGCACACACAAAGCCACAGGTTTAGCCCCCAACACCACATAAAACGAGTGGTGGTACACACCTATAATCCCAACACACAGGAGGTAGAAGCAGGAAAATCTGAATTCAAGGTCATTCCCAGCAATATAATGATTTGGATGAGAGCCTGGGTTACAAGAGTTACTGTTTTGTTTTGCTTTTTCTTCCCAGAGGAAATTATTGATCAAGATTAAGG